TTGTAATTTTATGTAACTATTTGTAACTCAGTTTATTTATTTCTAATTTTATATTTGAACTCTTATAATTTTTATTTTATTGTTAAGTTAAATATCTATTATTTAAATGAATGGTAATATTTTTACATTATAATTATATATTTTTGTTATTTTTTAATTTAATACAAATTAATATATCTAATTTTATTTAAAAATAAAGTGAAAAGAAAAAAATATTAAGGTTGGGTTGGTGTCATGGATAAAAGTAGAAATAGAATTGGGTTGTGGGTTGTGTAAATGGAGGAGAGAGAAATGAGTATTTTATTAAAAAAATTGGGTTGGGTTGGGTTGAGTTGGGTTATGAATAAAGATAGTCTAATGAGATCACCTTTATCAGCCTCTTGAATGTAACAGGGGTACAAGGGGTGGATCTTCTGCTGGAACGTCGCTGAGCCCCACGAGACTGATAGGGTCCTCCGTCAATTTGGGTGTTACCAGTCCATTCCCCCAACTCCGCTCAATAAGAATGAGGCCGAATGGAACACACGCCACGGAGGCCAGGAAATGACTGGGAGAGCATATACTGATTGGGTCAAGTTTCATTTGGAGCTCGGGAAGACTTGGGCCGAACAGAGAGACCAAAATATCCTCCCACATCAACCTGTGGATAGGGGTGAGATTTTATGCCCGATAACCGGAGAACCGAACCGGACCGAACTGAAAATAACCAGTTCGGTTCGGTTATTTAAAAAAACAGTTTTTTCAGTTCCGGTTATTTTATGCACAAACCGGTTCCGATTTTCGGTTCCTCTCCAAATGTTTGTGTATTAACTGAAAAACCGACTATATATATGAAATATACATGTTTTATATGTTTTTATATATAAATCGGTTCCGGTTCTTGGTATATAATATTCGGTTCCTCATTTTTCATTTCGGTTCTCGGTTTTTCATGATACATTTAGCACATGAGTTGCATTTTTTTGGTCGGTTATTAACTCAAAACCGTGTATTTTTGGTTTTTTTTCACAAGTCAGTTACCCAAAAAACTAGAAAAACTGAACCGTTATAACACGGTTCGGTTCTTTTTCGGTTCCTATAAATAATTGTGTAATAACCGAACCGGTTATTTTGGTTCGGTTCCGGTTCCGGTTCCTGAAAAATTCGTTAGGAACCGGACCGGTCCCAGCCCTACATGTGGATCAATTCCTAGAGCCTGAGGAGGGTTACATGGATTGGTTTCACTGTAGGACGGTGAGACTGATCAGTGACCCTAACATCTATCCGGTGGTCCACCAAGACGGCGGCTATCAGCCAATTGCCGAGCGGCAATAGTGTGACGTAAGTTCCTAAATTGTGAATTCTATTATTATTATTATTATTTTTTTTTTATTATTTTTTTTATTAGATCGGATCAAAATAATTACAAGAAATTGGAGGGGAGCCGAGATATTATTATTATTATTATTATTATAATTTTTTTTTTGTGTTTCATATTAATTTGTTTGAATTTTATTTCCAGTATGGTACCATGGAGGGGGCTTATTATAACATCTTACATGGTGTTGAACACTTATTGGATACAGCCCATCCGGAGTTGCAGACTACATGGCACCAAGCCCAAAACGTCCTCTACCGCTATATGACTGTTGGAGGGCAAGAGGTCAGACAAGGGGGGACGTCTAGTCAACTTCTATCTCAAGAAGACTACGTCCCTCCACAGGACACACAGTCACATCGGGCGAGGCATCGACCAGCTCTAAACATTGGTGGAGGTAGAAGACG